GCAGATCCATGAGGAACAGGGCTACTGACCTACCGCTTGGCACAGGGACCATTCAATAGTATACATTGACGGTAATGGAGCCAGATTTGCGATATTGCACCAGTAGCATGCTCAGTGGGACCATCCCCCCGAGCCTGCACCTTCTTTTTCCTTCCAGCTGGCCGCGGTGCGGTCAGATTGGGCTGCCCTTGCAGGGCAGGATAGAGTACAGTACGCTTTAAATGGTTAGCTAGCTTAGAAGCTGAACGGACGTTGAGGCCCAGTTCTGCAGAGGCAGACCTGTTCCTGGCGGGCCTTACCCTCTCGGACCCAAACCGCTTGCATGCGCAGATCCATGAGGAACAGGGCTACTGACCTACCGCTTGGCACAGGGACCATTCAATAGTATACATTGACGGTAATGGAGCCAGATTTGCGATATTGCACCAGTAGCATGCTCAGTGGGACCATCCCCCCGAGCCTGCACCTTCTTTTTCCTTCCAGCTGGCCGTGGTGCGGTCAGATTGGGCTGCCCTTGCAGGGCAGAATAGACTTCAGTACTCTGTAAATGGTTAGCTAGGTTAGAAGCTGAACAGACGTTGTGGCCCAGTTCTGCAGAAGCAGATCTGTTCCTGGCAAGCCTTACCCTCTCGGACCCAAACGTTTGCACGCGCAGCTCCATGAGTCACAGGTCTCCCAGCCTACCGCTCAGCACAGGGAACATACAATAGTATACCTTGACAGTAATGGAGCCAGATTTGGGCCAGTGCATCAGTAGCATGCTCAGTGGGACCATCCCCCCGAGCCTGCACCTTCTTTTTCCTTCCAGCTGGCCGTTGTGCGGTCAGATTGGGCTGCCCTTGCAGGGCAGAATAGAGTACAGCACGCTTTAAATGGTTAGCTAGGTTAGAAGCTGAACGGACGTTGTGGCCCAGTTCTGCAGAGGCAGACCTGCTCCTGGCAAGCCTTACCCTCTCGGACCCAAACCGTTTGCATGCGCAGATCCATGAGGCAAAGGTCTTGCAGCCTACCGCTCAGCACAGGGACCATTGGATAGTATACATTGACGGTAATGGAGCCGGATTTGCGATATTGCACCAGTAGCATCCTCAGTGTAACCATCCCCCCGAGCCTGCACCTTCTTTTTCCTTCCAGCTGGCCGTTGTGCGGTCAGATTGGGCTGCCCTTGCAGGGCAGAATAGAGTTCAGTACTCTGTAAATGGTTAGCTAGGTTAGAAGCTGAACAGACGTTGTGGCCCAGTTCTGCAGAAGCAGACCTGTTCCTGGCAAGCCTTACCCTCTCAGACCCAAACGTTTGCACGCGCAGCTCCATGAGGCACAGGTCTCCCAGCCTACCGCTCAGCACAGGGACCATACAATAGTATACCTTGACAGTAATGGAGCCAGATTTGGGCCAGTGCATCAGTAGCATCCTCAGTGTAACCATCCCCCCGAGCCTGCACCTTCTTTTTCCTTCCAGCTGGCCGTTGTGCGGTCAGATTGGGCTGCCCTTGCAGGGCAGAATAGAGTACAGCACGCTTTAAATGGTTAGCTAGGTTAGAAGCTGAACGGACGTTGTGGCCCAGTTCTGCAGAGGCAGACCTGTTCCTGGCGGGCCTTACCCTCTCGGACCCAAACCGCTTGCATGCGCAGATCCATGAGGAACAGGGCTACTGACCTACCGCTTGGCACAGGGACCATTCAATAGTATACATTGACGGTGATGGAGCCAGATTTGCGATATTGCACCAGTAGCATGCTCAGTGGGACCATCCCCCCGAGCCTGCACCTTCTTTTTCCTTCCAGCTGGCCGTTGTGCGGTCAGATTGGGCTGCCCTTGCAGGGCAGAATAGAGTTCAGTACTCTGTAAATGGTTAGCTAGGTTAGAAGCTGAACAGACGTTGTGGCCCAGTTCTGCAGAAGCAGACCTGTTCCTGGCAAGCCTTACCCTCTCGGACCCAAACGTTTGCACGCGCAGCTCCAAGAGGCACAGGTCTCCCAGCCTACCGCTCAGCACAGGGACCATACAATGGTATACCTTGACAGCAATGGAGCCAGATTTGGGCCAGTGCATCAGTAGCATCCTCAGTGTAACCATCCCCCCGAGCCTGCACCTTCTTTTTCCTTCCAGCTGGCCGTTGTGCAGTCAGATTGGGCTGCCCTTGCAGGGCAGAATAGAGTACAGCACGCTTTAAATGGTTAGCTAGGTTAGAAGCTGAACGGACGTTGTGGCCCAGTTCTGCAGAGGCAGACCTGTTCCTGGCGGGCCTTACCCTCTCGGACCCAAACCGCTTGCATGCGCAGATCCATGAGGAACAGGGCTACTGACCTACCGCTTGGCACAGGGACCATTCAATAGTATACATTGACGGTAATGGAGCCAGATTTGCGATATTGCACCAGTAGCATGCTCAGTGGGACCATCCCCCCGAGCCTGCACCTTCTTTTTCCTTCCAGCTGGCCGTTGTGCGGTCAGATTGGGCTGCCCTTGCAGGGCAGAATAGAGTTCAGTACTCTGTAAATGGTTAGCTAGGTTAGAAGCTGAACGGACGTTGTGGCCCAGTTCTGCAGAGGCAGACCTGTTCCTGGCGGGCCTTACCCTCTCGGACCCAAACCGCTTGCATGCGCAGATCCATGAGGCAAAGGTCTTCCAGCCTACCGCTCAGCACAGGGACCATTGGATAGTATACATTGACGGTAATGGAGCCAGATTTGCGATATTGCACCAGTAGCATGCTCAGTGGGACCATCCCCCCGAGCCTGCACCTTCTTTTTCCTTCCAGCTGGCCGCGGTGCGGTCAGATTGGGCTGCCCTTGCAGGGCAGAATAGAGTTCAGTACTCTGTAAATGGTTAGCTAGGTTAGAAGCTGAACAGACGTTGTGGCCCAGTTCTGCAGAAGCAGACCTGTTCCTGGCAAGCCTTACCCTCTCGGACCCAAACCGTCTGCACGCGCAGATCCATGAGGCAGAGGTCTCCCAGCCTACCGCTCAGCACAGGGACCATACAATAGTATACCTTGACAGTAATGGAGCCAGATTTGGGCCAGTGCATCAGTAGCATGCTCAGTGGGACCATCCCCCTGAGCCTGCACCTTCTTTTTCCTTCCAGCTGGCGGTGGTGCAGTCAGATTGGGCTGCCCGTGCAGGGCACAATAGAGTACAGTACGCTTTAAATGGTCAGCTAGGTTAGAAGCTGAACGGACGTTGTGGCCCAGTTCTGCAGAGGCAGACCTGTTCCTGGCAAGCCCCACCTTCTCGGACCCAAACCCTTTGCACGCGTAGCTCCATGAGGCAGAGGTCTCATAGAATTACGGGGCCATTCACTTACAGGAACAAGGCCCGGCAGCCTCGGACCTTCCCACCCTTAGGTCTGACTACAAAACCGCTCGCCGCTCAATTGACGCTGATCAGCCCATCCTGGGGGCACAAGGTACTCAACAAGGTCCCAGATAGGGCCATAGAGTTACAGGGCCACCACACCTGGATCTTGTAACCAACCTGCCCTAAAACTCTCCTGCCCTATCATTCACCTTGTCAAGCACCTTTCACCACCTGGACAAGCACCTGGCAGTAGATCTCAACGCGATCCAAGTCCTAAGCCGGCCTAAGGCCCCGCACATCCGAGGCCACCACACCTGGATCTTGTAACCTACCTGCCCTGAAACTCTCCCGCCCTATCATTCACCTTGTCAAGCACCTTTCACCAACTGGACAAGCACCTGGCAGTAGATCTCAATGCAACCCAAGTCCTAAGCCGGCCTAAGGCCCCGCACATCCGAGGCCACCACACCTGGATCTTGTAACCAACCTGCCCTAAAACTCTCCTGCCCTATCATTCACCTTGTCAAGCACCTTTCACCAACCAGACAAGCACCTGGCAGTAGATCTCAACGCAACCCAAATCCCAAGCCGGCCTAAGGCCCCGCACATCTGAGGCCACCACACCTGGATCTTGTAACCAACCTGCCCTGAAACTCTCCCGCCCTATCATTCACCTTGTCAAGAACCTTTCACCAACCAGACAAGCACCTGGCAGTAGATCTCAATGGAACCCAAGTCCTAAGCCGGCCTAAGGGCCCGCACATCCGAGGCCACCACACCTGGATCTTGTAACCAACCTGCCCTGAAACTCTCCCGCCCTATCATTCACCTTGTCAAGTACCTTTCATCAACTGGACAAGCACCTGGCAGTAGATCTTTCTGTGACCCAAATCCTAAGCGGACCTAATGCACGGCAGGTCCAAGGCCCCCACACCTGGATCTTGCAACTGACTTGCCCTGAACCTCTCCAGCGCCATCATTCTCCCTGTGATGGCAGAGCTAGGAGCCGTGGCAGGCTCTTGCCAGTGGTGAAACCTTTTGCCACCTTCACTTGGCTTGTAGTACTTGCCCTCCGTGACTTGCTTCTTCACCTCATTTCTCTCTTTCTCTCTTGTCCCATTCTCCCTCATCCCCTTTCTTAATTCCATTGGAGCTCCTTTCCCTCAAACTTGTCCACTGTCTGCAGGTCCTCGCGAGCGCAAGATATCGGTCCCTCCCCTCAGCCTGGCCAACTCGAGTCAAGAGCAAGCCTCACAGCAAGGTCTTGAGCCTCAGCAAAAGAGAGCGTTTCCACACTACCAAGGACCAGCAACGGGCTGCACCGCGGACTGAACACTTCATCGCAGCATCCCGAGGCAAAAGGTAAACGGGGCCTAACCGGGGATTGAACCCGGGACCTCTCCCAAATTGTCGAGCTGCGCTGGACCCTAAGAGAGAATCATACCTCTAGACCATCAGGCCCTCGGTTGAGCGCCGCAGCGCAGCAAGCATACACGCTGCGCAACTGCAAACCTGTCAGGTTCGCCGGCACACAAACACTCGCTCCAGCTTCCTGGCCGGCTCTTCTCTCCTCAGGCCCGCAAAGACAGTCTTTGCACGCAATCACTCGCCGCGCCTTTTCGCCCGCTTTACTCTCCTGAGGCCCGCAAAGACAGAAACGGCAGACGCGGAACCCAGAAGTTGCACAGCCTCCTGAAGTTCTACACAAAGTTTCCGTCGAGGTGCTCGCGACACTGGTAATGCGTGACGACGCCGCTGTGAGGAGGTACGGCAGAGTCAGGCACGGGAGCGGTGCAGAGGAGAAGGCGTATCCGGACGCACTGCGGGCTGTGGATGGCAATCACGCTGTTGCCGACGCGCTTGTGGCACACAGGGCAGCTGCGTGACACGCAAGCAAAAGTCAGTGACGCTGCTCGGACCGACAAAAGACCGCATTCCACGACTCACATGCGCCCGTCCGTAATCTTGACCCGCCGCTCTTCGAGGTCGACGATCTTGACCTCTTGCTGGTCGAGCAAGCTGCGCCCGATGGCCTTGACCATCCTCGACTCGGTCGAGCGCTCCGTCTGACGGCGCAACGTCTTCTCGAGATAAACCTGGAGGTCGCCGAGCGCGACGAGTGGCGGCAGGAGGTCGAACGCTTCGACGGGGTCGATGCGGGCGGCTTGAGTCGACAAGAGCGAGAGCGCGGGCTCGAAGAACAGGGGAAAGTCGGGGCGAGGGCGCAGGTACAGGCGCAGGAGGAGGTGGAAGATGGACGGCCGCATGGACTCGTCCGAGTCCCAGACGCGCTTGCAGTACCTGCGCGCGACGAACTATCGTGAGCTAGGCCGACAGGCGACCCCGTGCCGACGAGAGGAAGAGGGACGCACAGCTCGGCAGTGGCGTGATCGGCAAGCTGGTACACGTAGATCTGCAGGGCGCCCTCGTGACGGCCGAGCCGGCCGAGGAGGACCGCACGGACCTCGTGCAGGTTCTCGGACGGGAGGCGGCCGAGCACGCGCTCTGGGCGGTACGAGGTTGACGACTCGAGGAGGTCGAGCAGCTTCTTGTAGGTCGCCTCGTCGCGATCTGTGGGGCCGGGTGGGGAGGTCAGAAAGCCGGCCTGGACGATGTTCGAGACGGGCGAGGGGCTCACCCGACGGCGCAGCTTGGACCGTCGCGAGGTACAGCTCGACGAGCTTCTCGTGAAAGTCGACGCCTTGCTCGCCGAGAACATGGATGATGTGCTCGAGGTACCGGATGCAGACGTCGCGCCCGACCTCGTCGAGGTGCGCCATGACCGCGTGACGCGGCAGCGTCTCGACCTCCTCCAGGTCGGCGAGAAACACCTGCAGCAGGACGACGGGGAAGGTTTGCGCTGGATCGGGGACGCGAGCACGGCTGGAAGAGGGAGAAAGGAGAGCGCAAGGGACGCACCTTTAGTCCAGCCTCCTTGTCCTGCTTGAAAACCCACTTGGACGCCTCGAGAACGACCGCGAGGTGGTCGACGCCGAGCTTCTGCAGGTAGCGGACCGTCGGGCCGACCTTTTCCTCGACGTCGTCCTCGTCGTCGCTGATCCTGCTCGCAGAGGTTGGGTGAGCAGGCGACCTCGTGAAAGGCGGACGGCAGTGGACGCACTGCTTGAGCAACTTGACGGCCTTCTCGTGCATGGCCTTGCCGTTGTACAGGTCGAGGAGCTCGCGGTACTTCTGCAAGGGCGCGAGGCGAGTCAGCGGAGGCCGACGAAGGGAAGGGAAGAGGAAGCGAGACCGGGCCGACGCACCTTGGCCTCGAGCAGCAGCTCCTCGACCTCCTCGACCTCGCACCAGTTCTCGATGCGGCACAGCGGACCGACCATGACGGGTTTGGTCGCGAGGTAGGCCCGAAAGAGCGCCGTGTCGACGACTTGAGCGACGCGCGCGAGTTGTCCCGGCTCGAGCTGCGTCGGCGGCTTGTTGGGCAGGTCGAGCAGATCGTCGGGGCTTGCCGAGGGTCGAGGTGACGAGGGCGAAGGACGCGAGGAAGGGAGAAGGGCTGCGAGGGCCTGCGAGTACTTCTGGCGTCGGTCGGTGAGGTACCGGATGAGCTCGTCGACGGCGCGAGAGCGGTTGGCGGCGTCGAGCTTGAGCTGCCGCTCGTGCGCATCTGCGGCGGCGGGTCAAAGAGGTCAGCTCCGGGTCAGGTCAAGTCGAGTCGAGAAGGTGGCCGAGGACGCACCTGCTGCCTGCTCGGCCTGCTCGTCGGACGTCGCGCTCGCCTCGCGCTCACGCAGCCAGCTCCGCTTGACGCCGAGCCTGCTGCTCATCGTCCGGATAGACGACGCGTCGTCGTCGTCCACCGCCGCCGCCGCCGCCGTCGCCGCAACAGGCCCCTTGCCCCTCCTCGCCGGGCTCGACGCCGACGGCGAACCCCCAACCTGCGCGTCCCGCTCGCGCTCAGCGACCCTCCGCCCTTCTTCCTCCCTCTCCCGCTCCTCCCGCGCCTGCGCCGCCGCCGCGATCGCGTCCCTCGACCGCCCGCCAAAGATCTCCTCGCGCGCGTGCTGCTCGAGGCAGAGCTTGCCCGAGATGGCGCGCGGGTAAAGCGCGACGACGCGGGCCGGGTTGAGGTCGAGCGAGATGAAGGCGTCGATGGCGAGGCTGTAGCGGTGCGTGTCGAAGAGGTGGAGCGAGTGGAGGGTCGCGAGTCGGCGCGAGAGGGGAGGCTGCGCGAGGAGGGGCGAGGGAAATGCGGGTCAGGTCGAGTCACGTCGAACAGTGAGAGGTTGCGAGAGCGGGACGCACAGGTAGAGGATCGCTGAGGACGTCCACCGACGCACGCAGCAGCCGGATCCCGTCCTCCCACCTGCCCTGCTCGCCGAGCGCCTCGATCTGCGCCTGCCACGGCTGCATCGTCGCGACCCACAGCGTCTGCTCGATTGCGCCGGGCGTGCTCATGGGCGCACCCGCCGCGGCCGGCGTCGCCGTCAGGACGAGAAGGGGCGGTTTCGGCATCGAGCTCGAGACGGTGAGGAGGCGGGCGACCGTCGGCGGCTTAGCCGGGGCCGACTTGTCGAGCGCGGCGAGCGACGAGGCGGCGAGGGAAACGGGAGGAGAGGCGGACGAGGGAGGGACGGGTAGGCTCTGCACGTGGGCGAGCGTGTCGAGCGCGTGAATGGCGAGAGTCGGGGCGGTCGAGGCGGTGGGTGAGGGGGACAGCGCAGTGCACGGGGAGAGGAGCGAGACGACGTAGGGCGGGACGACGAGGACCTCGTCGACGGGCGCAGGGTGCGTGATCGAGGGTGTCGGGAGGCCTAGCGACGGCGGCGGTCGGGGCTTGCCGGTCGACTGGAGGGGCATTGCGATGTCTGTGAGGTGGGAGCAGGATGAGGTCCGCCGCCGGGATGAACGTGCCGAGGAAGGGAGACGCACTGTCGCGGACCACGAACACCTGGCCCCCTTCTCCTCGCGCCTCGCCGTCGTCCTCCCAGCCCCAGCCCTCGCCCCACAGCCACGCCGTGTCCCCCTCTGCCCTGTCTCCCTCTGCTCCCTGCGCGCCGCCTCGCTGGGGCAGCTTGCCCTTCCTCGCCGCCGCCGCCGACACCGCGTGAGGCCGCGGCACACCGACGACGCCGTTCTTGTCGAGCTTCTTGGCAAGCGCGTTGAGCGCGCCGAGGCTGACGACGTTGCCGAGGCCGCCGAGGCCGCTCAGGCCGCTGCTGAGCCCTCCGAGGCCGGGCACGGCCGACGCGCGCGAGGGCCGCTCGGGGACAGCGAGCGGGAGCGAGAACAGGTCGCTGAGTGCGGGCTGCGCCTTGGCCGCCGACGACGGCGAGAGGTTGTCGAGCGGCGGGAGTGTGACGACGCCGTACTCGCCGGTCGAGAAGCCGCACACGATCCGGCGGCGGTCGAACGCCATGCCGCGGATTTGGTGCGGGAGCGGGACCTCAAGCTGCGGGGACCAGGTGCCGTCGACCCAACTCAGGATGAGGAGCCGGCGCTTGCACGCGAGGGCGAGGGTCGTGTGGATCTCGGGGACGCCGGCGGCGGCGTCGGAGCTGGGCGAGGCGGGTGCCGGGTGGTGGACCTCGGTCGAGAGCGCAAACAGGGTCGCCGAGCCGCGCGTCTGGCTCGCAAAAGTCGACAGGACGGCGAGGTCGGGGAAGGAATACAAGGTGAGGTCGCCTCCTGCGAGAACGGGAGGTCAGTCGTTACTCCGTGGTACCGAGTCGGGGCGGTAGGGGTCGCGACGGACCGGTGATGCACACGAGCGCATTGAGCTCCTTGATGACGCCGAGCTGCTCGATCGGCTTCCTGGAAAACCCGACATGGCGACTGACGAGGGTTGCCGACGGCGGGGCTGGACAGAGGGGCAAAGGTGGTCAGCGCATGTGCGCCGAGAGGGCACGACGAGGACGAGAGGACGCACCTGAGCTGCTTGATGCCCTCGACAGGTCAAAGACGAGCAAGGTGCCGCGTTCGGTGCCGAGGACGATGCGGTCGGCTGCAGGCGAGGGGGAGGGGTCAGCGACGTTGCGCCGAACGAGGGAGCGGTCTGGACGCACCGTAGAGGAGCGCAGCGGTGACAGGCTCTGGGCCGAGCACGTCGGGCCTGATCAGAGGCGCGACGGAGAACGGAGAGTGGACCATGGCGACGAGAGGGTGAGGTGGGGAGGACAGATGGCGAGCTGCCACGCCCAGGTCGCACAGTGGGGCGGCTGCCGCTGGGCGATCTTGTTCGGTGCGCTTCGATGCAGCTGTGCAATCGAGCTGCGCGGTCTGAGGATGAGGGCGAGCCGAGCCGGAGCTGTTGGTCGTCGTCGGCGGACCTGGACGAGGTTGTCGCCTCTCGCTCTCGTCATGGCTCCTTTAGACCAGCTCGAGCACGACCAGCAGCCCTTCCGTGTCCACCTGACCGGCTTCGGCGTGCGTCCCTTCCTCCCCTCCTTGACTTCCCCGCCGTGCCGCCCCGCTCACCGCTCGACCCGACGACAGCCCTTTGGCCCGCACGCCGTCAATGCCTCGTGGGAGACGGTCCGCCCACTCGACGGCACCGTGCTCGACGAGCCGCCGACGTTCCCGGGTGCGCCGCCGCCGTACATTGCACAGACGGCGAGCCGGCGGCGGCGCCCCGTACACCTCTCGACCTCGCTCCTCTCCGTCAAGTACTCGACCGTGCTCTCTTCCGTCCCCGCCCTCCACGCCCTCGACACCGACTCGGCCCGGCCCCCGTACGACCTCGTGATCCACTGCGGCGTGAGCGGCGACGACCGCGCCGTGCGCCTCGAGCAGCGCGCGCGCAAGTTCGGCTACGACAAGGAGGACGTCGAGCGCGAGTTGGCGCCGCGAGCGGCGGACGGCCGGCGAGGGTTCAGCGGCGAGCGGTGGGCGGCGTGCCCGGAGGAGCTGAGGACGACGGTCAATGCGGCGAGGGTTTCGCAGTGCGCGAGGAACCGAGGGGTCGAGCACCTGAGCCCGTCGCAGGACGCCGGTGCGTCTCTCTTTCTCTCCCTCTCTTCTCTGTCGCACGTGCACTGACGCCGTCGACCCCGCAGGCCTGTACCTGTGCGAGTTCAGCTTGTACGCCTCGCTCGCGAGCGCCCAACTTCGCAACCCGGACCGGCCCACACCCGTCCTCTTCGTGCACGTCCCGCCGTGCGTCCCTCGCTCCTCTCGCCCTCTCGCTCTCGCCGGTCCGAGCTGAATGGGCCTCCTTTCCACAGGCTCGACACGCCGTACTCCGCCGACGAGCTGACGGCGGCCATGCGCATCATCGTCTGGGCCATCGTCAACGAGGGCGGCCTCGACTCGTAGCGCACGTGCAAGCGAGCCATATCTTGAGCGCGTGCAAGGATCGACGAGCGAGAAGAGAGGAAAGCCAGCAACCGAGCTAGCGAGCCTTTTCCTGCCCTGCCGTCGAAGGCCTCTCGCTGAGAGCAAGGAGCCCAACTCGGCGATCGCAGCACACGCTCGAGGACCCGCTCTGCGTTGCAGCAGCTCACGAACGAGGGGTTTACCACGGGTCGCTCGCCGCCCACCCGCTCGCGCCGCCGTACCCTCCCTGCCCTCCCGGCGCTCCCTGCGCCATGCCGTAGTGCGCCGGGCTCGCCCCGTACGCCGGCATCGCCGGCGGCGCGTCTCCTCCAGGCGGCGGCGCCGCGCCATACGCGCCGCCGTACGCGTTGTGCGCGCCGTACCCGCCGTCGCCGACGCCGAACGCGTCGCCGCCGCCGTCCATGCCCATGCCGTTCATCATGTGCTGGTCCGGGTGCTGCTGGTGCTGGCCCTCGCCCGGGCTCGTGAGGTCGAGGAGGCCCTGCCGCAGTTGGCCGATCTGGAGGATGAGGGCGTCGAGGCCCTGTGGCGCGAGAGGGAAGGGGAGTGTCAGTCAGGGTCCCGCAGAGCCGGGACGAGAGGGTGGGGGGAGGGAGGGAAGGAGGGGGCGCACCTTGAGCACGATGTCCTCGGGCTTGAGCTGCCCGACGGCCTCGACGTCGTAGTAGAACCGCGACGGCTTCTCGTCGAACGGAAACGGGTCGCTGTCCTCGGGCTTCTTCTCGTACTGCGCGCGCGAGAGGAGAGGTGAGCAGGTGTCGGCGGATGCGCTCGGCTGGCGCGAAGGAAAGAGAGAGAGAAAGGCGAGAGCGCACCTTGCCGTTCTCCGACACGGGCCACTCGTCCCTCGGGTCGGTGCCGACCTCGAACCACAGGTCCGTGTGCTTGAGCTTGTTGTACGGGTCGTACTCGAAGCCAACGGCGGCGCACGGCGACCACTTGGCGTGCTCGAGTGCTCGGCCCTGTGTACACCAAGCGCGATCGCACGGTCAGCTCGCGAGAACACGAGGCGAGATCGATAGGCGGGAGGGCAAGGGTGCGCACCTTGGTCGCGATGCACCGCAGGTGGATCTCCTGGCCCTTCGCGAGCTTTACCAACAAGATGCCGTCCGTGATCTTGGAATCAGGGCCTGCGTGTCGTACATGCGGTCAGTGTCCGCCCGTCGCCAACGAGAGGTCCGGGCGAGAAGAGAGAGAGAGAGAGAGAGAGAGAGAGAGAGAGAGAGAGGACGCACTCGGCGCTGGCTTGCCCACGTCGCTCGGCCCGCCTCCCTCGAGGAGCAGCTCTTTGGTCGTCACCTCCATCGTCGAGCTCGCCATGCACTTGGCGTCGAGCGTGAGCGTGACCGAGCATTTGTGGCAGAACGAGTCGCAGTCGCACTCCTGCGAGGGCGGGCCGGAGGGGGGCAGGCAAGCGTGTCAGTAACGAGGAGAGCACCGACCCGACGACTGGAAGAGAGAGAGCGGGTGCGCACCTTGTTGTAGTTGGTGATCTGGTTCTCCATGCCCTCAGAGATGAGGGGCACGAGTCCGAGGCGGTGCGCCAGCATCTCGTCGGGCATGACGCTTGTGTTCTCGGTGATCTGGACCTGGTCGATGGCGAGCGTGTCGATGCGCGAGATCATGCTTCGCCGGATCGAGTTGGCGATGCTGCAGGTCGGGCGCGAGGAGCAGGGTCAGCCGAGGTTGGTCGCGGAGACGAGAGGCGAAGGAAAGGGGGAGGGGGAGACGGACCCGAGGTGGACGCCGTCGAGGATGAACTGTACGTGGCCGTCTTTGGACAGCTCGGTGATCTTGACGCGCAGGTCGGCGCCGTCGTACGTGGCCGGCGGCTGGAGCGGGAGCTCGCCAACAACGCCCTGCATGATGAGGAAGCGCGAGAGGTGGACAGGGGACGGGCGGGCGTGTGGACGCGGCTGGACGCGGTGCGAGTCGGAGAGGGCGAGTTGAGAGGGTGCAGAGCAAGCTCAGAGCTGTCGTCGGCGAGTCGAGTCGCGGTGGTGGAGGGCAGAGAGCGAGGTCGAACCGTCTGAGACCTCGACGCTGCTCTCCCTGTCTGGCGCTCTGGTGGGCACACCGCTGCAGCGCATGAGCTGCTACTGGAGATTGGCTGCAGCGCGCAGACCACGCCGCCAGAGGAACGCAGCTCGATCGCTTTGGTGACGAGGCGGTGCGGCTCGCTCGCCCTCTCCCCTTCTTCCACCACCGCACTCGCTCTGCAGCAGCTGCAAGCTAGCTCCTCCAGCCTCGCTACTCCCTCGCCTCCCGCTCAGCAGAGCCCCGCCGCCGCCTCTCCTCCCTCCACCTCGCCCTCCCCTCCCTCCTCCTCCTCGCTCTCCTCGGCACCATGGACAAGGCCCGCGAGCTCGAGACGTCGTTGGAGAAGAGCCTCGAAGAGACCAAGCAGGACGTCATCGATGGCGACATCGACACGACCGACACCAACGCCCGTTACCTCGGTGCGCCCCCTCACCTCCCTCTCGTCCCTCTCTCCCGCGCGCAACCTCTCGCTGACCTCCTCCTCCTCGCACACAGGCTACCTCGCCCGCCTCCGACCAGTCCTCATCTCGTCCTCCCGCTACCTCGCCTGTGCGTCCCCTGCCCTCTCCTCTCCCTCCCCCACCGGCCACTGACACCTCCCTCGCGCCGCTGCCGCACAGACTCGTCCGACGTCGGCGAGTCGTTCCGCCCCGTCGTCGCGCCTCTGGCCGTCACGGCCGCGTACGGCATCTCGTGGGCCTACGTGACGGGCGACACGGCGTACGAGGGGTACAAGGCGTGGTTGCGCGCCAAGGAGCTCGCGCCCGACGCGATTGGCAGCGTCGTCGGCTTGACGTGCGTCCAGCTTTCTCTCTCATGTCGGCGCCCGGGTCGTGTCCGGTTGCGGCCGGCGACGACCGGGCTTGATCTCTGGAGTGACGGCGCTGACTCGTCCCGGTCCCTCCGCAGGTGCGCCAAGCGCGCCGTGTTCCAAGCAACGGCCTCGATGCTGCTCCCCTCGCTCACGATTCACTCGATCGTCAAGTACTCGGCGGTCGCCATCAAGCGGTGGGGCGTCCAGAACGTCCGCGTCCGGCAGTGGTTGCCTTCCGCCCTCGGGTGCGCACCCTCTCCCTCCCTCTCCCTCCTTGTCGCACGAACGAGTGACTAACCCTCGTCACCCGCAGCCTCGGCTTCATCCCGTTCCTCCCCGCCCTGTTCGACGAGCCCGTCGAGGGCTACGTCGACACGACGTTCGACCGCCTCGAGCGCAAGCTGTACCCGGACGAGACGTCGCCCGTCCGCCGCGCGCTCGAGGCCGGCAAGCACCACACGCAGGAGCTGCACGCGCAGGCCGAGAAGGAGAAGGCCGAGTAGAGCGGGCGCGACGAGCGGTAGAACGGGGCGAGCGTAGAGACTTTGTATCGCTCGACGAGCACTGTAACTTTGGACGTCGCTCGTCTCACTCTCTCTTTCTCTGCTCTCTCTCTCGTTTCAGGCTTGGGCGAGAGCGCATTCCTCGCAATACAGCGTGCCCAAAGAGAGAGAGAAAGTACACGGCGCCGTCTAAGGTTCGGCGCAAAGAGGAGAAGGGAAAGGGGGGCACGAGCGCGCTCAGTCGGCCTTGATGAGCGAGTGCGACGGCGCCGAGAGCTTTTGTGCGCCCTTGAGGAACTCGATCTGTGTCGCGGGAGCGTGTTGGGGTCAGGGCTGGGCATCTAGGCGAGGATGACTCGAGAGAGGGAGAGGGAGAGGGAGGGACAGAGAGAAGGAGGGAGGGAGGGAGAGAAGGAGAGAGGAATGGAGGACGCACGTCGACGACGAAGAGGTTCTGGACGACCTTGCCCTTGGCCTTCTCGATGAGCTGCTGCGCCGCGAGCGCCGAGCCGCCGGTCGCGATGAGGTCGTCGACGACGACGACGTTCTGGCCTTCCGAGATGGCGTCCTCCTGCATCTCGAACGTGTCGACACCGTACTGCGCGTGTCGTACGATCAGCTCGACGCTCGTGTGGCGCACCGTGTCGGTGCGCGGGGCGCGAGAGAAAGGGAAAGCCCGCGACGCACCTCCTTCTCGTACTGCGCCTGGAAGCACTGGCCGGGGAGCTTGCCGACCTTGCGGACGGGGACGAACGCGGCGCCGAGGCGGAGCGCGAGGACGGGGCCGAACAGGAACCCGCGCGCGTCGAGGCCGACAATCGTGTCGATCTTGGCCTTGGGGTTGCCGGTCGACTCGCGCAGGGCCGGGAGCGTGACGGCCGTCAGGTGGTGCAGGAAGTGGGTGATGAGGGTCTGCGCATCGGCGGCGAGGCGTTAGAGCTGGTTCTCGGACGCGGTCGCTGTCGTTGAGAGAGGACGGTCGGACGCACCTCGAAGGCGACCGGGTCGCGCAGGATGGGGAACACGTCGAGGAATACGATGCCCTTCTTCGGGAAGTCTGCGCGGTCGCGGTGTCGAAGCTGTCAGCTCACTCGCTCGGCGAGAGAGCAGGAGGTGACCCGACGACGTCGTCGACCCGCGGGACCTCGTCCGAGCTGGCGTCCGCCCGTCCAACCGCTCGAGCGCTCCACCAGTCCGACCCAGGACACTTTTCCGCCGCCCGCAGGTCTTGCACGAGTCGCCGCAAGGGCCGCGGCGCGAGTTGCTGGGAGCCGGGCGGTGCGCGGGCGAGGTTGACCGGGGCTGGCGGGAGGGGGAGCGAGGAGCGTGGAGCGCACCAGGGTGGGTGCCAAGGAGACTCTCGAGGTACTGGATGTCGGACATGGTCGGCTGGCGATGCTGAAGCGGGTGAGGCGGAGCAGAGACGAGCTCATCTCTTTCGCGACCGCGAGGTGATCGGGCTCGAGCTGGCCGGCGCTCTCGCCTCGCCGCGGTTGGACTCTCTGACATGGTCGCTGGCTGCACATGCTCGATTCACGCGAACAGAAGAGTGGAAACCCTCGCCGAGCGGCGCCGAAGCCTGAGAGAAGGGTAGTGGAAACAGCGCGGTGCAGATTACAGGGCTCGGGCGAGAGGGGTAGACAGGGCGCGACGACTACGACGGAGGGACAGAAAAGAAGACTGAGGGTGGAGCCAGAGTGCGGAGGAATGTCGGTCGACGCGCGGCAAGGAAGGAGGGATCGAAGGCGGGAAGGACCACTCGAGCCGTCTAGGACTTGTCAGGGACGAGGAAGTTGACTGCGCGACGCGAGGGTGCACCAAAGTCAGTGGCCGAGTGCAGACGTCGTCGAGAGGGCAGGGACGCACTCCAGAGGTCCATGCAGGCCGCCGGCAGCTCCTGCTGGGTGAAAACGCGCGCCTGGACCTGGAACTTGGCTGCGCACGGCGGGCCAGGACAGCGTCAGGTTCGAGGCACGTGGGCGGGCCGTAGAGAGAGTGGTGGGACGCACCTCGCGGGATCTCGGCGGGCAGGTCGACGCTCTGCGTGATAGTGTACGAGCCCGGCTCGATTGGGCACGAGAGGGTCGCGTTGGCGTTGTCGCTGCGGCGCGCGAGTGTCAGTACAGGGACTGGGAGGTATAGAGGGTGGAGAGAGAGACGCACAGCTCGTCGCAGACGTCAAAGCGCTTGGTGAGGAGCTTGATGAGGCCCAGCTTGACGGTCACGTCGGCGTACGTGCCCTCCTGCGGGGCGCATACGAGTCGGGTCAGCTCTCGGCGCTCGGCAGGACGAAGAGAGGCAGAGGACGCACGTCGACGAGGTTGTTGACCTTGCCCTTGGCCTCGATGGTGAGCTTGTGGCCGGGCTTGGGCGGGTCGGGCGAGACCTTGATGCTCTCGATCTCGAGCGCGTCGCCGGGCTCACCTGTGGGCGTGCTCTGTGTCAGTGGGTGGTCCTCTCGAGGAGGTGCGCTGCTCCTCCAGGGACGGTTGCGACGAAGGAGGACTGCGCGGCCCCCCACACGACGCACTCGCCGTCATCCGCGCACCCACCCCGTCCCACCCGCTCGAGAGGGAGAGAGAGGGACGCACCGCAGTCGTACCACCCCCACTGAGTCATGGCACCAACCTCGCCGTCGTCTCCGAGGCGCGAGAGGTGTCCTGCGCTCCAATCGAGGGCGGCCTTCCCCGCCTGGCCCAGGACGACCTGCGAGTCGAGGGGCGCCGGGGCGGGTGCGGCGAGTGCGGTGGCGGACAGGGCAGCGAGTGCGAGAGTGGACCGGAAGAGCATGGCTTCTGGCGTGAGAGCGAGTCGGTGGCAGGAGGGCGAGGACCGCGGCCTCGCTGCCGTCGCCAACAACGGACTGCCCTCGTCCCACTCTCGCTCACCGACCGTGCTGGGCGATGCAGCGTTCCGCGCGACCGCTAGCTCCACCGTGGTCGACCGCGCACCAGCCCACGCGCCCTCGACTCGCGCTCTTGCTCCCACCTCGTCTCCCTCCTCCTCCCGCGCAACCGTCCGGCAGCCCGACGCTGCTATGTGCGGCCGCATCCGCGCCATCACGATCTGCTCGCTCGCTGAGCTTCTGCCTCGCTGCGGCTGTAGACGATCGCCCGGGGCCGCCCCTGGGCGAGTTGTCGCGCACTCAGGTCCGTCGCGCTCTCCTCTCTTCGTCCGGGTCCTCGCTCTGTTGCCGATGTGCCTCACTGACCTTTCTCTTCTCCGACAGGACTCTCTCCTTCGCTCCCGTCTCGTCGTCATCGCCGTCTGCGTCTCCTCTCGACAGCTCGCCGACCGCCATGAACCGTCCGCCGCCGGCCGTCGAGCCGCACGACCCGGCCTTTCGCCAGCTCAAGGAGATGTACAGCTTTTTCAAAGACGCGACTGGCACCGCTCTCCGTGACGAGAACACGCCCCCGCCTCGGTACTCCGCCGCGCGTTCGGTCAACAATGCGGTCAAGAACGGGCCGCCGGCTCTCGCGCGAGCATGGAGCGGCCTGTCGCCAGCTCAACGCGACCGCATGCTCGAGCTTCTTCTCAAGTACTACTGCGAGTCGAGGGGCAACCTGGACTACGACCTGTCTCGTGTGCGTCTTCCGTTCCCTGGCCCCCACCCCGCCCTAGCCTCGCTCGACGGCGCGCTCACACCTACCTCGAACAGATCATCTTCAAGAACCTCCGTAACGATGTCCTGTACTCGTGCTTCGAGGACTCGCAGCGAGCCGTAAGCCTCTTGCCTTTCGAGCGCACGCGAGCCGGTACAAGTCCACGCCTCACTGACTCTTGCACTGCCGACCCTGCAGGCCACGGCCGACACGCCCAACCTGTTCGACCACTTCAACATGCTCCTGGGCCTCCTCATGTTCCTCTACTCGGCGCCCATCTGCGCGCGCGAGTTCAAGGCGTTCGAGGACCTGCGCTGCGACGTCGGCAAGGCGCGCGCCCTCCTGTCGAGAGCGCAAGGGGTGCACGGCGAGTACGAGCAGTCAGTTCTCAAGAATGCCGAGGGCCAGCTCAACGAGCGCCTGCGCGAGGTCAACGCCGTGCGGGACGAGCACCTTAAGCAGGTCAAGGCGGCGTTCGCGCTCCTGTACGACATCGCCGCGCTCGTGCCCGGCTTCTCCGAAGCGCACTTCGCCGCCGTCGAGGTCTACTTCTCGCAGCTCGACTCGGGTCAGCAAGTCGCCGCCATCGCCTGCGTGCGCGCCTTTGTCTTTGCGGCGTGCGAGGAGCGGGCCATGCGAGGAGAGGCGCTCAACCCGGATCGGCATGTGCGTCCCTCTCTCCCTGCCTTTCTACCCTTCTTTTTCTCGGCTCGCCCTGCGCGAGCGGCGCGAATACTGACGCAGCCCTCATCAACCTTCGCAGCTCGCCAAGGTCCTCGTCGCCCTGCACGCGCACGACATCGGCCATACGCTGTGCGCCGCTCACCTCGCGTCGATCGTCAACTACTACAAGTCGCAGGGCGCCCCCTCGGCCGATGTCCAGCACATCCACGCCGTCTACAACCGGTTCTGCGGCAAGACGTGGACAACCTGGTTCCCGCAGTTCGCCCTCTCGCTGCAGGTGCACGTCGTGAAGACGATGAACGCGCTCCTGGGGCGCCTTCATCCGCTCACGGCTCGACAGGCGGTGCGTCCTCCTCTCGCTCCTCTTTCATGCCTCTACTTTTCTCCTCGACCCGAGCGGGGTTTGGGGCGACGAGCTCTTTCCTGACACCTTGCCCTTGCCCTGCCCGTTCCTACAGCTCCACGAGCTCGCCGTCATTCTTCCGATGCACTCGGCGAACCCGATCGACTGGGAGCCCGCACTCACGGTCCGTCTCTGTCTCCTGTGCCCCTCCTCGCTCGTGCGCCCTCGACTGACCTTCTTCTCCTCCCCTCCCAGGTCGACGACCCTCCCGTCCTCCTCCACTCTCTCGCCCACAGCGCCTCGACCCATCACGCACGTTACGGCGCCCACTCGACGAGCTCGGCGACGTCGAGCCGCTACTTTCCGCAGGCGAGGAGCGCGAGGTGGTAGAGGAGGATCGAGCGGCGGCGGAGCGAGGGGCGAGTGCAACTCGGTCGTTCGCGCTCGAGGTACTTCTGGCGCTCGCGGTGTGCCTGAGGAGGCGCAGAGAGCAGGGCCGCGAGCTCGTAGCCAGAGGCCAGAGTCGGGCGCAAGCGCGCGAGCACTGCAGGCAGCAAGCGAGGGGCGAGAGGAGACTCGGCCACCCTCGCTTGAAAGCAAGAGCAGACGCGCAGAGCCTCTTGTGCAGCTGTGCGAGCGTGCCCAGGCTACGCAGCTGCGCGCCCACCCGTGAGAAGTGCCGCCGCCGCGCGCCGACTCGGGCGACGAGTGAGCGGCTCCTCTCTCCTGCTCCACACGCAGCGCTCGGCTGAGCGCTGAGCTAGCGTACCCTGTGTGGCGTCTGCTGCACTGCTGCTGCGCGCCTCCATCCATCGCGCCCACCTCGCCCTCGCCTGGCGCGCCCCGTCTCGCTGCTCCTCCCGCGCCGTCGTCCGGCGGCCGGGGCGCTCTCTGCCCTCGAGCACTCCCTCGCGCAGCCACGGAAATTGCTCGCCTGCTGCTCGTAGGCTCCGCTTGCGGCTTTAGACCGGCGACAGGAGGCGGCCGGCCCTCGTTCGCGCACTCAGGTCCGTCCTCGTCGTGCTCTTCCCGTTCGTCGCCCTCGTCCTGTTGCCGGTCCACCTCGCTGACCTCCTTTGCCTCCTCCAGATCACTCCTCGCCGCCCCTATCCTCACGCACATCGCCGCCGTCACGCGTCCCGACGCTTCGCCGACCGTCATGAGCAGCCCGCCCGACTCGTCCGCCGCAGCGCCTGTCCTCGAGCCCGACGATCCGCTGTTCCGCCAGATCGGCGACGTGTACAGCTTCTTCAAGGACCCAGCCGGCGCCACGCTCAAGCGCAAGGACTGTACGCCCGAGGAGCTTGCGCACCACCACGTCGCCGCCTCGCTCAACGAGAGAGCGGGGCGAGGGTTGAACAGCGCCTTGCAGTCGTGGGACCAGATGTCGCAAACCCAGCACGAGCGTCTGGTCGAGCTCCTGCTCAAGTACTACTGCGAGTCGAGGGCCGACCCGAAGAAGAAGGAGTGGCCTGTGCGTCGTCCGTTCCTCCTCTTCTTTCCTTCCTCCCGAGACCGTCTACTGACGTCGGCCCCGAGCAGATTTCCTTCCCCCAGCTACGCAACGAGATCGGCTGCCCGTCCACCCTGCCGGCTCGGCAGCCACAGGTGCGCTCAATCTCGCTGTCGCGCGCGAGCTCGTGCCCGTTATCTGACCTTGGGCCTCGTATGTGCAGCTTCCCGCCCATGTCCTCACCCCCTTCCAGCGCCTCAACATGCTCCTGGGCCTCGCCGTCACGCTCTACAAGGCGCCGATCGACGGGCGCGAGTTCAGGGCGTTCGAGCAGATGCGACAGGTCATCGGCAAGAGGCGCCGCCAGGTGACGAGGGCCCCAAGCACCACCCCGGGCCTCCTTCCAGACGCACAGCAAGCCTTTGCGGACGCCGAGGCAGTGTTCAAGACGCGGCTGCACGAGGTCAACGAGAGGCGCGTCGTGCGCCTTCAGCAGGTCAAGGCCGCCGTGTGGCTCCTGTACAACAACGCCGCGCTCGTGCCCGGCTCCTCCAACGGAGCGCACCACGCCGCCGTTGAGGTCTACTTCTCGCGTCTCGACTCGGGTCAGCAAGATGCCGCCATCGCCCAGGTCCGCGAGTTTGTCTTTGCGGCGTGCGAGGAGCGGGCCGTGCGAGGCGAGGCGCTCAACCCGGACCAGCATGTGCGTCCCTCTCTCCCTCACTTTCTCACTCTCTCCCTCTCTCCCTCTCTCTCTCGTGTCGACCTTCTTGAGCGACGAGGATCCTGACGACGCCCTTGCCCGCCGCCGCAGCTCGCCGAGATCCTCAACGCGCTGCGGGCGCACCACCTCGGCCACGCGCTGTGCGCCGTTCCCCTAGCGTCGATTGTCATCTGCTTGGAGTCGCAGGATGCGCCCTCGGCCGTCGTCAAGCACTTCCGAGGCGTCCACCGCCAGTTCTGCAGCGTCGAGTGCACCCACCTGTTCTCGCACCTCGCCCTCACGCAGCAGCTGCACGCCGTCGTCGAGGTCCGAAGTCTGCTTCGGCGCGTTCGGTTCGAGACGCCCAAGGCTCGGGAGGCGGTGAGTTCCCTCGCCTCTCTCCCCCTGTCCCCGAGCCGAGCGAGGTCGAGACCGCCTGTTCCTGACCCTGTCCTTCCTCGTCCCTGCAGGTCAAAGAGCTCGACGATATCCTGCCGATGGGCTCGGAAGATTCGACGAGCTGGAAGCACGCTCTCAAAGTCCGTCTCTCCCTCCTCACTCGCGCGTCCTCCTCTGACCCTCTCCCTTTCCAGGTCGACGACCCTCCCGTCCTCCTCCACTCTCTCGCCCACAGCGCCTCGACTCGCCGCGCACCTTTCGGCGCCGACTCGACCAGCTCGGCGACGTCGAGCCGCTACTTTCCGCAGGCGAGGAGCGCGAGGTAGTAGAGCGAGGACCGAGCGGCGAGGGAGCGAGGGGCGAGTGCAACTTGGGTCGTTCGAGCTGATGACTCTCGCGAGACGGAGAGACAGGTGTGACCTTGTCGGGCAGCTGGGCGACGGAGCAGAGAGGGCGCGCGGCGGCTGAGAGAGCTCGCTTGAGGCGGGAGAGGCGAGCGGGCTCGCCGGGTTCGCTACGTCTACCCTCAGCTCGGCTCAACGGTCTCGTCGACAGCAGCAGCCTACACAGAGAGAGCCGTGACCGCGGCCTGTGAGCCAGAGAGCGCCGAGGCGAGAGCGAGCCGGTCGCGCAGCGCCGGCGCTCGCTCGGACCTCCTCCCGTCGTTCTTGCTGAGCCACGCGTGGCTCTCTGACTGCAGCTCTCGCTTGAGTGTCTCTCTGGATGCTCTTCTCCTCTCGAGAGCCGGGGCAGCATAGAGAGACTTGGTCAAAGGGACCGAGCGACCGAGGACGGGAAGCTCCCTTTTGAGATTCCTCTCGTCGACGAGCGCGTACGCTCTGACAGCTCGCGAGAGGGACGGACAAATGCTGCACAGATCCACTCGCGAACGATCTACCAGTCCTCGCTGCCGTCGTCCGACAACGACTCGCGACGGCAAGCGCGGCAGAAGCAAACTTCGGACTCGGACTCGGACTCGTCCGGCTCCTCGCCCTGGTCCCCGCTCGTCACCTCGCACCCAATCTCCTCGCACGCACCCTCGATGGCGCCGATCGCCTCGTCCGACAATTCGAGCCCCTCGTAGTCGCCGCCGACGTGCAGCTCGCACGAGATGGCGTCGGTCGAGAGATGCACGCGCTCGAGCGTCGCCTGGTGCGCCTTGAGGAACGAGACGAGGTCCCTGGGCTCGTCCGACAGGGCGGGGAACAGGTCGAGGCGGAAGAAAGAGAGGGAGGGGAGGTCGAGGTGGAGGAAGAAGGCCGAGGTGAAGTCGGCGCCGACGGCGAACGAGGTGAGGTGCGGAAGGTGGATGTGCGAGGAGGAGGAGAGGACGGGCCACCAGTCGAGGGCGGACCCTCGCAGCTCGAGGCTGAGCTTGACGAGGCTCGACGAGAAGAGGGCGAGGAACGCGTGCACGGCGGCAAGGTCGACGTTGCCCGTGTCGACGGCGAGCTCGAGCGACTCGAGACGCGTCTCGATGAGGAGGCCGGCCGGCACGAACAGGAGCTCCTTGATGGCGACAGAGTCGCACCGGACGGCGAGGTGCCGGAGGCCGGGCATGCTCGCGACGAGGTCGACGATGGTGCCGTCGCTGACGCCGTCGATCTCCCAAAAGGCGAGCGACAGGGAGGTGAGAGCGCTCTGCTCGCGCAGGACGGCCAAGTCGGCGTGGCTGAGGTTGCTTTTGTCGAGGTCGAGGGTGCGCAGGCGGGGCAGGGCACCGCCGGACAGGTCGCCGTGCGTCTCCGAGAGGACGAGCGTCTCGACGGCGGTACAGCGCTTGAGCGCGTCGAGCGCACGCGCTTGCCATTCGAGGTACTTCAGGCTGTCCAGCAGATAGTGGTCGCTGGCGATGATGTCCTTGTAGTCGACGCGCCGCACCGCTGGCGCCACGAACGGAACGGCGCCAAGCACGACGTCGAGGTTGTCCGAGCGCCACGGGTTCAAGTCGACTCGCTGCACGCGTGGAACGAGTCAGTGGTATTCTGGCGCGCGAGGCTGAGCGTGATCGAGGCTCACCTGCCACAGCTTGGGTCGGCAGATCGAGCGAAAGTCGCGCACGACCGCCTGCAGCCGCGCGAGCTCGAGGCGTTTGCGCGTGGCGCCGTCTTTAGCCTGTGGAGGGTGGAGCGCGAGATCAATCCTGCTGCTCTGTGCTGCACGAAAGAGAGAGAGGGGGCTTCGAGACGCACCGCATGCTCACGCTCGTCGCGCTCCTCGAAGAACCCGACTGCGAGTGCGGAATCCAGCCGCTCGGCCTCGGCCGAGTCGTGGGCGACGTCTTGGAGGACCTCGTCGACGATCTGGTGCTTGAGCTCGGCCGGCAGGCGGGACCATGGGCGAACGGCTCGGTGCTCGGCGGCGGGGAGGACCTCGAGCGAGGGCGGCGGCGGCGTGGTGGTGCGGTCGCGCGGTGTGGTGGCGGGGCTGAGCGGCTCGATCATGTCGAGTGGGCGAACTGGTGCGGTGGCAGAGGCGCAAGCGAAGGGTTGGAAGCAAGAAGCGGAGCGACGCCGAGGCGGACGAAGGCGTGTGCGCGACTTAAAACGAGACACGACCGCGCGCTGGCTCTCGAGAGCTGCTGCAGCACCTTGCTACGGTACTGCTGCCCTCGCACGGGCACGAGAGAGGGCGCGGCTGGCGGTCGAAGGTGCGCGGGCTGGCGAGCCGCGGGCGCGGGTGGCTGGCCGTCGGCGCAGGGAGCGAGCCGGTCGCTGAGCTAGTAGTCACGCCGCTGACCTCGAGCAAGGCGCTGCAGGCTGGACTGGAGCCGAGCTAGCCGAGAGCTGAGCGCACCTCCACGTTGACTTCGACTGACCTCGAGCCCGAAGGTCGTCTCTTGCTCGCTCACCACGCCACAGCCGAGCTGTGCTGCGATACAAACCAGTCTTCGCCCTTGTAGCGACCACCTCGCCCGCTCTTCCGTTCATCTCGTCGCCCCGTCGTCCCACCCATCCTCGCCCAAATTCTCATCTCCATCCGCCTCGCGAATACCAAGCTCCTCTCGCGCCGCCGTGCGAGGTCGACCGAGCTGGCAATGCTTATTACCGGTGCGCCCCTGCCCCTCCAGCATACTCGACCGACAGCGAATCACTGACCCTTTCTCCTCTCCTCCGCTTCCTCGCCCACAGCCTCCTGTCCACCCTCCCTCCCCCGCGCCTTCCGCTTCCACGACTCGCCTCGACCATCCGCCGAGTTCCATGTGCGGTCTCAGGACGGGCCGAGGTCGTCTCGGCGAATCCTGTGAGCTCAGGTCCGTCCCCCGTTCCGCTCTCTCTTCTTTCGAGGCGCAGGCGCGAGGGAGGGCCGGCTGCAATGCAAAGGCCCGATCTTCGCGCATCAAGAGAGCTGGAGAGACGTCATGCAGGGAGAGACAGAGTTGTGCGCAGCTGCCGGCCGGTCGGTGACCAGAACTCGACGGTAGACTCGAGCGCCTGCGCGTCGCGGGACAGGGGTCGCTGCCCGAACCTCTCCTCGAGCAAAGTCGACCGACTGCTCTCACCGAGCCGCACCGGCTGCGAGCCCCATCTGCGCACGCTCGCCTCGCCTCGCTCGAGCAAGCTCTCGTTCGGAGAAGAAGGGGGCGCTCGAGCCTCTCTCGCTCGCAACCTCGGTAAAGCTTCTACGGCTCGTTCATTATGCGTGTGCAGGGGTGCTATACGTTGCTACGTCAAGAGAGATAGAGAGGGTGCGACTGACTGTGAGAGCGGCGAGAGAAATACGACGGCGGCCGAGTGTCTGTGGTTGGGGGGACGAGGGGCGTTTTGCGTGCGCGGTGGCGGGACGGGGGGTACGACAGGTGGGGAACAGAGTGGGACCGAGGGACAAGGAGGTGCGAGTGAGAGAGGGAGGATGCGGGCGGGACCTAGAGCGCGAGGAAGGCGAGCGCGCCGGCGAGGACGACGGCGGCGCCGGAGACGAGCGAGCGACCTGCGCCGCTCGTCGCCGTGGTCGACTCGGCCGCAGCCGCAGCCGCCGACGGTGCGACGCCGCTCGCCGCCGCGGCGCTCGTCGCCGTGGGCGCCGACGCGCTCTCGATGGCGGCGGCCGAGGACGACGACGCGGCGATGTCGCGCAGGCCGGTCTCCTGCGACGCCGTGGCGCCCGATGCGCTCGTCGGTGCGGCCGACGACGTCGGCTCGCCGCCGAGGACGGTCGACTGGCCGTCCGGGAAGTAGACGGTGACGGCGGGCGCGCCGATCTGCGCCTGGGTCGTCGACGACGAGGCAGGTGTGCTCGAGGCGGCGTCGGCGGACGGCGACGATGCAGCCGACGACGACGACGGCGAGGCCGCAGCTGCACCCTCGATCTTGAACGGCGGCGAGATGTTGTTGGTCGAGCCCATCGTGATTATAAAGGTCGAGCGGGTCGGAAGGTCGGCGGGGAGCGGGAGCTGCGCCGTGCCCGAGCCGTCGTAGAACGAGACGTTGCCGATCGGGTTCTCAAAGTCTGTGTCCGACGCGCGAGAGCGTCAGTCCTGCGCTCGCGTGCGAGAGAGAGGGGAGGAGGACGCACCGAGGTTGTACCCGCTGCCCGGGTCCGAGTCGTCGAGGTAGCCGAGGTACACAGACGCAAACTTGTGCAGCTGGCTGTCCGGGTAGTCGGGTCGGGTCGCGTTCCTGCACGAGAGAGCAGGCGAGGTCAGCTTGCGAGTCTGAGCGACCTCCAGCGCCGCCTGCCGCCTGGCCCGCCGCGCTCCTCGCCCACTGCGCTGCGCTCGGCACATGCACGCCATAAGACGGGCACCGGTTCACAAGCGCGGCGCGGGCGCGAGCAAACTAGAGCGCGCACGCGCCTTCTCGGCCGCGGCCAACGGGCGTGTTTGTTTGGGGAGAGCGGGCTCACCATGCAACCTCGAGGACGCCACCGGCCTGCCAGACCGAGCCGCGAGTGGGCGAGGTGAGCTTGGGGAAGTAGGCGATGAGGCTCGCGGCGGCGTTGGACGCGACGTCGTCGCGCTCGGCGAGGAGCGGCAGGCCGCGGGGCGAGAGGGCGCCGGCGTCGTAGACGGGGAGGGCGAGCGCGGTGGGTGCTGCTGCAGTGGCGAGGAGGAGCAGGGCGGCGAGCATGGCTGGAAGGGCGCGGAGGTGGGTGAGAGGGGGAGAGGAGAGGTTGCGAAGGGCGAGGACGCGAGACGCGTCCGTAAAGTGGGGGCTCGGGGGCGGGGTCGTCAGGTGGTCGAGGCTCGTTCGCTCTTGTCGGACTCGCTCTCGTCGCTCGGGGGCTCGTGTGCAAGGGAAAGCAGTGAACAGAGCAAGAGAGCGTCTCTCTCTTCAACCGCTCGAAGGACGACGACGACGCCGAGCTGGTCGCTCTCCTCGGCCTGCGCATCTCTTCACGCCGAACTCGATCGTGCGTCTACGAACCAAGTCTATGGGCATTGCAATCGATCCCCCCTTCAGTCCTTGACGATCTTGCTCTCGGCGCGCTGCGCGTACCCAGTCCAGCTCTGCGAGGCGAGGCGGGGCGCACGGGGGAGGAAGGAGCGAGGTCAGGCACGGTCGTCGTCGTGACGGCGTCACGATCCCCTCGACGAGGGAGGGGCAAAAGAAGAGGACGCACCTCGTCGTAGATGTCGATGGGCGGTGCCCCAGCACGCTGCAGCGCGAGCCACAGGACGGCGGCCGTCATGCCGCTGCCGCACGTGCCGATGACGGGGCGGTCGCCCTGCTTGACGAGCGCCCACCGCTCGGCGCCGAGCGCGTCCGAGAACACCTTGTCGAGGTCGGCGGGCGGCAGGAGCGTCTTGTACGGCGGCGAGGTCGACGACTCGGGGCTCAGGACGGTCGAGAAGGGGACGGACGCGGCGAGGGGCATGTGGCCGCTCTCGAGGCCCTCGCGAGGTTCGGGCTCGGTGCCGTGGAAGCTGCGCAAGGACGACGCGAGTCAGTACGCGAGGAGAGACGAGGAGAGTGGGAGAGCTGGGACGCACCGTCCTGCTGGCCGAGCGTCGACGACGACGGCGCCCTTGTCGCCCTTGGCGATGTTGGCGTCGACGTCCTCCCACTGCCGCACGTCGTCCCGGACCGCCTCGACCTTGTACTCGGTGAACTCCTCCTCAATGTCGGCAATGAAGTAGCTCTCGATACGTGGCTTGCCAGCGAACATAATTTCGGAGAGGATGGGGCGGTACTCGGCGCGCTGGCCCGTGCCCTCGAGCTCGTGCGGGTTCGGGTTCATCGGGCGCTGCTCGTCGATCGGGTTGCCCTCGGCGATCCACCGCGGGAGGCCGCCGTCGAGGACCGAGACGCGCTCGTGGCCAAAGTGCTGCGTCGGGGGCGAGAGAGCGAGAGGTCAGTGTCCGCCTCGACCTGCGCACTCACCGTGAAGGAGCAAGAACCGCGCAGCGCACCTTGAACGTGAACGCTGTCCTTGGGGACGAGAAGACGCCGACCGAGTCGTACACGACGACGTGGTCGTCGCGCTTGATCGCCAGCCGGCCGCACGCATCCTCGAACTGCTCGGTCGAGGGCATGTTGTGCGGCACGCCCTTGTCCGACTTGGTCGCGATCTGGTCCCTGTGTCGGTGCGGTGAGGGGTCGGACAGGTCAGCTTGGCTCGATCACGAGGGCACGGCGAGATCCCTCATCAGAGAGATGACGATGAGGAGGAGGGAGGAGGGAGGAGAGGTGGGACGCACACGTCCCAGAAGCCAGATCCCTCGATGCGCTTGTGCCGCCACTCGCGGAACGCGTACCGCTCGGCATTGGGCATGTGCCAGCTCGCGTCGAGGACGACGGGCGGGCTCGACGAGGCGAGGAGCTCGCGCAGCTCGGCGGGCGTGAGGAGCGACACGGGCTTGGTCGACAGGGCGCGCCGCGAGACCGAGGTGGCCAGGAGCGGCGAGCTGCGCAGGGCAGAGCGGGCGAACAGCATGGTGTGCGAGGTGGGAGGAGCAAAAGGTCCAGGAGGCGGCCCCACCACCACGAGCGAGTGAAGCTGCTCATCGGCAACACTCTCTCGACCTGATCGAGCAGCGCGGTGCTCTCGTTCGTGCGACTAGACGAGACTGATACGAATGAACGACCGAAAGTTGCGATGCTGTCTAAGCGACGCCGGGTATCCCACCTCTCTCCTCGCGCACCAACCGCCTCCCTCTCGCGCCTCCCACTCAGCCCTCGAGCTCCGGCCCAGCGCCGCCCCCGCTCACATGCGGATGATCTGCGCCATGTCGTCCTTTGCGGCCTCGACGAGCGGGATGAGGGCCTTTGCGTCGAGGAGGGCCGAGTCGGACGTGCGCGAAGCGAGGAGGGCGTCCCACCACTTGTACAGGAACGACTCGGCGATGAGGCGGAACCAGGGCGTGAACGTCGACGCTGTGGGCGGGGGTGGGCATCAGTGAGCCGAGGCGGGCGAGCGAGAGAAGCCGAGGGAGAGGGAGAGGGAGAGAGAGGGGGAGGGAGCGAGGACGCACTCGGGTCCTGGAAGAAGGCGTCGAGCTCGGCCTTGGACAGCCACTTGGTGCCGCTGACCTCGTTCGGGTTGACCTCGAACTTGGGGTCGAGCGTGAGGAAGAGGATGTAGTCGACTGTGGGCGCGGCGCACGGTGCGGGTCAGTCGACGGCCGCGCGGCGCGAGAGAGGGGGGAGGAGGCGGCGAGAGAAGGGAGGAAGGGAGGCGGGGGACGCACTCTCGTGCTCGGCCCAGATCTCGTCGCTGGGTGCGTAGTAGTGGATGCGGGTGAGGTAGGCAAAGTCGTCGAGGGCGTACGTCGTCGGGATCCCGAGCTCGTGGACGAGTTTCCGCGCCGCCGCCCGTCGAACACCTGCAGCGACACGAGGTCCAGTGTCAGTGCGTCTTCTCCCCTCGTCGGTGAGAGCAAGAGAGAGAGAAAGGGAGAAGGGGGACGCACCAATCTGGCCGTCCTCGTCCGTCTCGCCAAAGGCCGTGAGCGGGTGCGAGCAGCACGTGTTGGTCCACATGCCCGGGAACGTAATCTTTTCGTCGGCGCGGCGCTGGAGGAGGAGCTTGCCGGACTCGGGGTGGAACAGGAAGACGGAGAAGGCGCGGTGCAGCGGCGAGCGCGTTTCGGACGACGTCGACGGCGGGATGAGGTGGCCTGCAGTGAGGGTTTAGTCGCGCGCGTCGGAAGGAAGGGTAGACAAGGACAGGGACGCACAGTCCTTCTTGGAGCCCTCGCCAATGTTGCGGTCGTCGTTGTCGAGGAGGATCAAGCGCTCCTCCATGAGGTTGATCTGCTCCTGGTCGTACTGAGCCGGGTCGAGCGTGATGGTGTCTGGTGCGCGTCACTCGAGGTCAGCTCCGACGTGCACGTGTGTGTAGTGCGCCTGGAGAGAGGGGTGGGGACGGACGGGTGGGTGCGGCCATGGTGGTGGTTCGAGGACGAGGAGGAAGGCAGGCGGCGCGGGAGGAGCGCGAGCGAGTGCGTGGACGGGCTTGTGTCGGTGCTGTGCGGGTGTGCGCGAGTCTAGCGAACTGCTTGGTGCGAGTGGGAGCGAGAGAGATGAAAGGTCCGCTCCTCCTCCTCCTCGACCTCCTCGTCCTCACCTCGACACAGCTCTCGACCTCACCCATGTCGCGCGTGCAAGCCACCGCCCGCGTCCTCGTGCGCACCGCCCGCCCCTCCTGGGCACCCACCCGCCTGTCGAGCACCCTCTCGGCGTTCGAGTCGGGCCTCGAGGGCAATTCTCCCCCGGCCTCGCTCCACCTCCCCTCCCACGCACGACCGAGCGCACCAGGCCCCTCGACACCGTCCCTCGCCTCGTTGAGTGCCCTGCCACCCGCGCGACCGACCGACCCGCTCGCCGTCCAGCCCGACCACGAGCTCCTGTCGGTCCTCGCGCGCCTCATCATGCGCGACGGCAAGCTCGCCCGCGCGCACGCCTTCCTCGACACGATGCTCCAAGAGCTCCAGCTCGCCACGTCGTCGCCCCCCGTCCCCGTCCTCGAGCGCGCGATCGAGCTCGCGAGCCCCTCGATCCGCATGGTCGGCCGGCGCAAGGGCACCAAAGTCATGCAGACGCCGCAGCCGTTGACGGCCAAGCAGCGCAGGCGCCAGGCTTGGAAGTGGATCGTCGACGCGAGCGACAAGCGGCAGGGGACCGAGAAGGACTTTGGGCGCCGCCTCGCGCAAGAGTGCCTTGCCGTCCTCAACGGCCAGAGCGAGGCCCTCAAGAAGGTGACGGGCACTCACACGCTCGGTGTCACGGGCAGGGCAAAGTGCGTCTTGACCTCTTCCTTCTCTCTCGTCCCCCGGGCGGCGTCGAGGACCGTCGTTTCGAGCGTCCTGACCTTTCCTCCCTTCCCTCCCACCTCGCAGCGTCGGACGGTAGTCGACTCGAGCGCAATATCAGCAGCAGCATCGCAAGCCTGTCGTCTCGTCGTGCAGCAGAGAGCGAGAGCTCGTCGGGCGCGGTCCTCGCCGTGAGCCGCGTGGTCGAGCGCCGTGCGCTCGTCTCGAGCGGGCTCGCGACGGCGCGGTGCCGGCGGTCGGGTCGAGCAACGCTTGTACTCTCAACCTCAGCCCGTCGGACCCGCAGGGGGAACGGCCCGTCCAGAGCGAGAGAGCGAGAGCGACGAGCAATGTGCTACCGGCGGCGCGAACAAGAAGCTGCAGCTGCGGCCTCTACCTTCGCGTTCGCCCGTGCCCCGTCCATACGACTTGATCTAGCCCGACGCAGCTACGAACTCGGGAGAGCGGCAGTGAGAGAGCGAGCGGCCGATTCCCCTCGCCCGACGCCGCGCCTGGAGGAGAGCGCGATCACCTTGCCGTCGTCCACCTCGCCGCGTCGCCCAGCCGCGTCCAGCCAGCGCCCGCAGCGACAAGGTCGAGCTCATCAACAGCCGAGCAGCTCGCGCACCGCCCAACGCCGTCGCCCGCTCCGCCCTCGCCTTCTGGAGCTCTCGCCTCGTCGTCCTCGCCTCGCCCGGCCCACGACACGCTCAGCCGGCTGAGCGGGCTCGCGTGTCCGCCCAGAGACCGAGTATTATGGCATCTGTGCGTCGCACTGTATCCTCTCTTCCCCCAGACCCCGTGCGAGCAAGCGGCTCATCTCGTCGCGCTCCCCGCTCGAGAGGCGCGCGAGTCCCGAGCCTCGAGCCAGAGAGCAGAACAGACAAGCTAGAGCTGCAGCGAGCCGCACGAGAGCACAGTGTCGCAGCGAGAGGCGGCAGAGGCTGAGCTCGTCGTCGCTGGTCCAGTCGAGCTCGACCTTGGCCGCGGGCTGCTCTCGCTCTCCCCCTCCGTCCACCAGAGCATCAATCATGGCTCCCGTCTCTGCATCCAAGGCCAAGCGTCTCGAAGGCAAAGTGCGCCACAGCTCTCGCGCGCTCTCCCTGTCTCTCGGCGCTCCGTCGTCCTCTCCGATCACTGCGTCGGGTCTCGCCGACCTGCGCTCGTCTCACCGCCAGCTCCTTCTGGTC